GCCCGCCCGCCGCAGCCACGGAGCGCGCCGCGGACATGGACGACGAACCCGAGCGGACTAAGCGCTGGGAAGGAGGCTACGAGAGAACATGGTGGGGGTTCCTCTCCCCTCCCTCCCCGTGGGTGAAGGACGAGGGAAAACCTCCCTCCTGCTCAGTAACGGTCTGTTTTGTGTAGGGAGATTCTGAAGGAGGATGAGTCTGGCTCGCTGAAAGCGACCATCGAGGACATTCTGTTCAAGGCCAAGAGGAAAAGGTACCACGTGTCCGCTGGCCCGCCCGGCTTGGTCAGCTGTGACAGCTTCATCGGTCTGGAAACGGGCCCTCTAGGCTGAGCAAGCGTGTCAGCACACCGGTGTATGCTTGTGCCCTGACCCCTTCAGCGCCCGCGATGCATGCTTATTGCCTGCTGCTGGCCGGTACTGCCAGAAACAAACAAACAAACCCCAAAGCCAACACTCAAGTTTTTTATTTTTTAATTTGTGTGATTAAATCTGTGTGATCTGGGTGTGTGCAGGCTGAATGCCCCAGCTGTATGCTGCCTGTGGAGGTGGGGTCTCCATCTGGTAAAACACAACTGCAGTCTGCACTGCCCAGACAAAGTCCTCCAACATTTTGTTAACATACAAATCACACTTCAAAATCAGTTTTGGTATCGTGGCACTGGATTTCTGTTTAAAAGTGTCCAGAAAAGTGCCAGATAAAATCTAGATTAGTTTTATTTCAGCTTATGTTGAAACATTCAAATCTAGATAAAATTTTACCATTTTATTAAAACAGGTAGTAAGAGATAGTGTTTGTTTGTTTTCTGAGAGGCGTGAAATCTGTTTGTAATTGAATTGTCTGGCTTTTTTCAGTGTAAGTAAGTGTCTGTGGTTTCTTACTCCTTCACATTTGCCAGAGGTCTACTGTTGGGTTGGTTCTGGATTTTCATTTTAGGAACCATTCTTTTCTATTCATCTTACTTAAATCTTTTTGTGTTTTCCTAGACTTCATGAGCAGCATGGACAAGTTAGACTTGGAATGGTACGTTAACATCTTAAGCCTTGTCTGCCCTGAGTCCAAAACTTCTTGGCCAGGGGTGGTACGTCTGATCTGAACTATGCTTCTGCTGACTTGATGTGCGTGAAACCAAAGCTTTTGTTTTTCTACCAGGTGTTTTTGGGGTTTTAAAACTTACTTTGTTCATTGGCGTGGGATGTGAAGCACAAGTATTGAGAGGTGGAAAAGATTCGTAGAAACAGGGAATAATTTTGGTTGGAAGAGACCTTTAATATCACTAAGTATAACCATTAGCCCAGCACTGCCTGGTCACCACTAAGCCATGTTCCTCAGCACCTCATCTTCACACCTTTCAAATCTCTCCAGGGATGGTGACTCCACCACTTCCCTGCACAGTCTGTTCCAGGGTTTGACAACCCTTTCAGTGGAGAAATTTTTTCCTGGTATCCAACCTAAACCTCACTGGTGCAGCTTGAGGCTGTTTCTTCTCATCGTATTCCTTGTTCATGGGAGCAGAGACCAACCCCCACCTGGTTCAAACTTCCTCTCAGGTAGTTGTACAGAGCAAGAAGGTCTCTCCTGAGCCTCCTTTTCTCCAGATTAAACAACCCCAGTTCCTCAGCCACCTCTCACAAGACTTGTTCTCGAGACCCTTCACCAGCTTTGTTGCCCTTCTTTGGACACACTTCAGCACCTCAATACCCTTCCTACAGTGAAGGGCCCAAAAGTGAACCCAGTGTTCAGGGTGTGGCCTCATCAGTGCTGAGTACAGGGGGATGATCCCTGCCCTAGTCCTCCTGGCCACACTGTTTCTGATAAAAGCCAGGATGCCGTTGGCCTTTTTGGCCACCTGGCCACACTGCTAGCTTATGTTCAGGCAACTCTTGACCAGCACCCCCAGGTCCCTTTCTGCCGGGCAGTTTCCAGCTACTCCTCCCCAGGTCTGGAGCTGTGCATGGGGTTACTGTGACCCAAGGGCAGGACCCAGTACTTGGCCTTGCTGCACCTCATCCCATTGGTCTCAGTCCCTGGATCCAGCCTGTCCAGACCCCTATGAAGACCCTCTGTGCCCTCAAGCAGGTCAACACACCTGCCTAATTTGGTATCATCCGCAAACTCACTGTGGGTGCCCTCAATCCCCTCACCCAGATCAATAACAACATTGCAGAGCAGGCCCCGGTACTGAGCCCTGGGGACCCCGCTGGGATTTGGCTCCACTCACCACCACTCTGGGCCTGGACATCCAGCCAGTGGTTTACCCAGCAAAGTGTGCACCCATCCAAGCCACGAGCAGCCAGTTTCTCCAGGGGGATGCTGTGGGAAATGGTGTCAAAGGCTTTACTGAAGTCCACGCAGATGACATCCAGAGCTTTTCCCTCGTGCGCTGAGTCATCTTGTCATAGCAGGAGATCAGATTTGTGAAGCAGGACCTGCCCTGCATAAACCTGTGCTGATGGGGCCTGATCACCTGCTTGTGCTGTATGTGCTGTGTGATATCACTCAAGATGGTCTGCTCCATAACCTTCCACAGCACCGAGGTCAGGCTGACAGGCCTGTAGGTCCCCAGATCCTCCTTCCTGCCCTTGTAGCTGTGTGCCACATTAGCTAACCCCGCACGTTTGCAGCTTGGCACGTTTGTGGTATCAGGTTGTGGTTTGCAGTAGCACTCGGGTCACACTGCCAACTGGATGTGAAGAACAAGCACAGTTTAAATAAGCTGTAAATAACAATGTGACTTCATGCAATGCTGAGCTCTTCAGATGAAGAGGTGAAGGTGCAACCTGTGCATCTTTTGTAGCTTATAGTGAGGGAACAGTGTACATATTTCAAGGTAGCCTTTTTTCTTCAGTTTGAGGGAAAAGTGGGAAAAATGTGTTACTTTTTCACTGCTGTTGATTGCATAGCTGAGTTTTCCCTGCTGGAAGGAGGGAGTAGTTTTTTTCTGGAGTAAAGGGAATACTGAATGTTTTGTTTAAATTCCTGTTTTGTGAGTGATTATCACTTGTGCTGAAACTGCAGATGCGCCACCTGTATGTGGTTATTGATGGATCAAGAACTATGGAGGACCAGGATTTAAAGCCGAACAGACTTACTTGCACTTTGAAGGTATTTCTGCACTTGAAAGTTTTCTCTTATTAATCCACTGTTTCTCTGTAAACCAGTTCCATTTTGCATTGAATGAATGCTTGAATGGCAGTCTCCTGTGACTAGATTGTGTGCCTAGCCCCATCTCTCCTCTTACCCCTACTTTTTTTCCCCTTGTTTCAGTTGCTAGTCTGTAATTTTCCTGGTTTTTGAATAGTAAAATCTGTGTGACATTAGTTTGCCTTGCATGAGTACTTCTTTACATAAAAAAAACATTATAAGGACATATTGTAGAAAGACACATTATGAAAGCTATGTGGAAATCAAGCTTTAATTAGTTTTGCCCATAAAAGCATAACATGCTTTCCTTACACACCTCAATTTTTTTTTACCTACAGTTGGGTTTGGACAAATTCTGGTTTGAGTGAGTGCTGGAGGGGAGTTGAATTGGGTTGGTGCTTTGGACTGTGGAGAACTTAAGCCATGTGTCCTGTGTTGTGTGGTCTCCTTTAACAACACTAAGCATTGGAATCCTGGGTTTTGATGATTTTATACCGATTAGTGCTTTTTGGTGTACCATAAATCCCCATTTAGACCAACAGTAATCTTGTACTTTAACACATGAATTGAATAAAATGAGGGGCAGCTAGTTTCCAAAATTCACATTGCATGGGTGACACAGGAGGAAGGAGAAGAGTGGAAGGGCATGGGGTGAGAGGAGAATGGAAAGGAAGAGCTCATTCCCCTTTTTTTTTTTTTTTTTCCAGCTGTTTCTTTGATTGTTTTGTTTTTTTTTTTTTTAATGATACTGGATGTTTTGCAAGTACCACTTAATGAATGCAGAATAAAACTGTATTTAGTTCCTAATGGTCTTAACCTTTCTTTATAGTTGTTGGAATATTTTGTTGAAGAATACTTTGACCAAAATCCTATTAGTCAGGTATGTATAACCATGCAAGAAACAAGTGAAAACTATTTTAAAAGTTAGATTTCGTTTTAACAGTGTCTCATAAACTGTTCTCAAATGCTGTGTTCCTTCCCATCCCTTCCTTATCAGTCTGATAAAACTCTTTCCATCTGAACTAATGAAAATAAGAAACCATCTGCTCTCTTTTTTATAAACACAGATTCCAACACTGAAGACTCGATTTTATTTTTTTTCAGGCATTTAGGATTTTAGAAGATTTCTTTTTGTACGTTGTGGCAAAAGTACTGGAAATACAGCAATGTATGTTAAATCATGGGTAGCATTGTGCTGCTGTTGTTACACTTACAAGGAAACTTGCATAGTTAAGTAATTCAGATCCATAAAAATGTGTTAGGCAAAATATAGCTAAAATGTTAATCAATTTATTTTTAAACTTGCTAAGAAAAGCTTTGCCTTTTTTTTTCCTTCTCTAGATTGGCTTAATTGTAACCAAGAATAAAAGAGCTGAAAAAATGACAGAACTTTCAGGTAGGGAGGTAGTATTTTTTTTTTAAATTAGAGATGTTCTCATTTGTTGTGTTGATGTTACAAGTTCTACCTGAAAGATGCTGCTGCAAGTGTAGTAGTGTTAACATTGTATTTTTAATTTAAAAGATAAGTTATTGCAAGTTACCTGAAAGTTTCTAACAACTGAGTGCCCACAGAGTAAATGCTGTTCTGTTATTGTATTGGTTTATTGTTTTCTACAATATGATCAAGATGCCAGTTTCTAAGAAGAAATGTGGAGTTACAAGTCACAGTTTGCCAACTGTTGTTGTACAAGTGCATTTCGTTAAATAACAAGTCAAAATAGTTGAAATATTTAAATATGTGTTTTAGGTGAATCGTTTGTTTCACTTACAGGTAACTCAAAAAAGCACATAACTGCTCTGAAGAAAGCAGTGGATATGAACTGCACTGGAGAGCCATCTCTATATAATTCCCTAAATTTGGCCATGCAGACCTTAAAGTTAGTATATACATGGAGGTGGTTGGTTTTTTTTTCCTTTGTTTCCCGTAATTGGTACAAAGCTGATTGTGAGATTTTGGAGGGGCAGGGCCAGTATTTTTTACAAGCATCATGCTGACTTGAGCCTTTAAAAGGCAGATTTTTGTCACTTTACAGTACAAACTGTTAAGAAGTTAAATATGCTAGTAGTGCAGAAAATAATTTTCTAATACAAGATGCTTCTTTTCAGAGGTATACTACATACAGAAAGCACCAATATTTTAAAACTAAATTGATGATATTTTGTTGTGTTTTAATATGTTCTTGAAAGACCTTGCAATTATTTTGCACTAGAGGGCTAAGGTATGAGAGAGGGCAGAGTTAGGGGTTAATAATGATAAGAAAACAGGGGAAAAAACCAGCACTGAATCACAGTAATCTGGTGGGAGTTTTGGCATACTTCAGAAAGATATGTTTTAGGGTAGGACAGATTAAAAAACTTCTTTGCTATGTAAATTTTTGAGGTGTGAAAAATGTTTGTGGAAGACTTTTAAGAATAATCGTAGCTAGAAATACTGATAGATCAAAGCCAGTAGTCAGTTTCATAAGAAATTATTAGAAGGACTAGTTGGAAGAGAGTTTTCCCTTAATAAGTAAAAGACAGTACTTAAAGTAATGGAATTACACCTCTCAGCTGACTAGACATTTTTATTTTAAGAAGTCAGAAACACTTGCTGCAGTGTTGCTAGTTAGAAGGTGAATTTCACCTGTGAGAGTGCAGGTAAGGTGTATGCATAACCTATGCATAAGAGCAAGCAGTCATAGAACAACTACACACACTCAAATACTGTGGTTTGGATACTGGAAAGTTTTTTTGGATACTTTTGGAAAGCGAAAATCTGGTGTTCAGATATGGATCTTGCCCCAGTTCTATAATTTGTCAGGGTCTTCATATCATCTTGTGTTCTGACTTTAGTGTGTTAAGGTCCTTGGAAACTTTACAATACCAACAGCTTAGTGTGCAGAAGTGCACTAACTGTCTGCTTTCTTTAGGCACATGCCGGGACATACAAGCAGAGAGGTTCTGGTAGTCTTCAGCAGCCTGACAACATGTGATCCAGCCAACATCTATGATCTAATTAAGGTACAGGAGTGAAGTCTGACTACTGCATTGAACATCCAAGTGATTAGATGAAAACCAGGCAGTTGCAGTGTCATCACCAATTAATTTTCATTTAAAACTTTGCACCTTTTCACTCTTCTCTCTTCTGCATATCAATTTGAGTATGCTTTTTTTGTTTTCCATATGAAGAGTTTAAAAGCAGTTAAGATCAGAGTATCTGTCATCGGCCTAAGCGCAGAAGTTGAAGTTTGTACAGTACTTGCCCGAGAAACTGGTGGTATGTATCTCAAGTTCAGTAGTTACACTATTGATGCAAGTTTAAAATCAAAATTAAGTCACTCATTTGTCATATGTTCATGAATGCATTTTTATATTTAAGGATTAAATCTTACTCCTTAAGATTTAAGGATTCTATTTTGCTGGCAGGAAATGTAAGGGTTCCCCAAATCTACAAAATGCACAATATTTAGTGAGTTTGTTGTTAGCTGGTAGCTGCATCTCTAAAGACAAGAACTAGACATACTTTAAAACCTAGTGTTCCACACACAAAGCTATGTGTTGTGTAACTTAATTAGTGTAACATGTTAATACCAATTACTACAGTGGTGTAATTCTTCAAATATCATTACTACGGTGTCATTTTGGCAAAAAAGCTATGGGCCTCCATAGGTGGTTAAACATTCTGATGTTACTGATTTTAAAATTTGTCATTTTCAGTAGCATTAACAGGACTGGTTTTTAGGAACAGCATTGGCTAATTTTTATTTTTTTTTTAACTCTAAGTTGTTTTCTGTCATTTGGAGAATATGTTTGTATTCTTATATGCTCATAATTTGAGAGTAAGGCATTTCTTTCTTTGTGGCAGGAACGTACCATGTTATTTTAGATGAAAGTCATTACAAGGAACTGCTGACACATCATGTTAGTCCTCCGCCTGCCAGTCCAAATTCTGAGTGCTCACTTATTCGAATGGGTAGGATATGGTTTTGTTAATGTCCTAGCACAAGATCTGCAACTCTTGTCTTTTTCTTTCTATGCATCTTCTTTGTTAAAGCCATACAGGTTTTAAGAAGAATAATAAAGCCGTGGCACTTTTTAAAAAATTATTTTAACTTCTTTTTTGCTAAGTAGATGCCATTCCTTCAAAGTAGTCAGCTTTTAAATAAAGTTAAGAATTAAAACCAATCAGATGAATGACTCAGCTCCAGCTGGAAGCAAAGTGAAATGATATTCCTTGTACAGAAACTGGTACAAATGTAGTATGTAGAAATGAAGAATGGAAAATTATTTTGTTTCTCATTTTTTCCATGCAAAAGGCAACTATTATAAGCTTAATTAACTGTAAGAACCATCTGTTCAGCCATGTAGTACATGGTTGTTGGGAGCACTGTTCTAGTGTTTCATTAGCAGATGGATTAAGTACCTTTTCCTGATGTATGTCTCAGTAAATTTAAGCCAGAATAATGCAGTTAAAATGCAGTTAAACCCGAATAGGAACTCTTACACCACAAATTGATTTTTCACTTTCATCCACCTGTTTTCACAGATAAGAGCATATGTATGTCTATGTGTAGATATAAATACTGAAGAGATTTACTTGCTACGGGTAAAGCCTGAGCAGCGGTCAGAAAATTGACTGCCCAGTTGACCTGAGCTGTAAACAGTAGTGGTACAAAGAATGGTGTTTGTTGCAGCCTCTGTAATAGTCTCATCTGTCTTATATGGCCCTGGGATACACTTTCCCCTTAATTAGATAAATAAATAAATAAGTACTGAACAATATTTTCTCAATTAGAAGCCGTTGTTCAAGTGAACATTGGTGTAGTGCTCTTTCTCTACTTGCCTACCATTGGACATTGTTTTTAGCTGTTGTTCAAAAATGGGGTTCCAGTGAGCTTCAGTTAATATGAAGTCCATGAGAAGAGTTTTTTTCAGCTGAGGGAAATACAATGAGGGATTTGTTGCTGGATATAAGTAGACACTTTTAGGAAGAATCTGATACCAGATAAGACTGCATTACTTTTCCTCCAATAACAAGAAGGAGATAGGCCTTAACATTTAGACTAGTCTTTAAACTTTTCGACTGAAGTAAGAAGCTGAAATTACTTATGTGTGTGTTTAAAAATGGTAATGTGGGATGTTTTTGTCTTCAGGTTTCCCTCAGCATGCCATGGCTTCTCTATCTGATCAAGACGTAAAGCCATCTTTTAGCATGACGTAAGTAGAGTTGATTAGAATTCAATGAACTAATAAGTCAATAATAATTGGTCAGACTTAGAAAATCTGATTGTCAGTGCAAATATTGCAAAATTACCTGAAGAAAATGAGTTAAGTAACGTCTTGTGACTTCTCAGTAGAAATTTTATTTCCGTTTGCACATCTAATGTGTGGCCATAGATACCTCTGGTAAATATAGTTTTTTAAATATACGTCTAAATTTTTTGAGGGTAGCAAATGGCTTTTAGTTGTGTTGTGCAGTGATTAGAACACAAGTGTGCTGCAAGGTATTGAAGTAATTACTGCCAGTTTTACTTGTATTTCTTAATTTTTTTTATCACTGTGAAGATAATGATGAGGATGAGGGGTGTTATCTGAAAGAAAGTATTTTTTATCTGTTTACTAATGTGACTGTAAAGGGAAGTTTAAAATAGAGGCCTCATTTTATTAATATGCCAGTGCTCTTCTCAGTGAAAGGGACCATAGTTTTCAGGGATGATAGGGAAGTTTGAATCTTCAGAAGGAAACAGTATCTGCTGCCTGAAAGAGTAAGTACTAATGTACTTCTTAAAGTCAGTTCAGAGTACGTGTGTGTCTGTAAGCAGAGATACTAGCTTTCCTAACTTTATTTTTCAAAGATATCCTGTATGTGGGAGAATGGAATCTTTGTTTCTTTGGGAAGATATGATTGCTGATCTCACCCTATCAAGCAAGTGCTTTCTGATGCTTCCATGCACGTGGAACTGTTGCATGGAAGCTACTGAAACTTTTTAAACTATTTGTTGTGAGAACTATGTACTATACTGTGGTTGTGTGTTATTGTGGTGTTATCTCTTAGGTGTTAAATTGTCTCTCTCTACCACAGGCAATTGGATAACAACAGTGAGACAGGTGTTTCAGTGGGTGGATACTTCTGTCCCCAGTGTAGAGCCAAATACTGTGAACTTCCTGTGGAATGCAAAATCTGCGGTGAGTAGCAAGAAAAGGAAGGAGGATGAATTATGAGTTAGTGGTAAAAGAGTTAAGAGATAAAATAATTCAGTTATACTTAAGAATTAAAAGCCAGGTCTTCTGTAGACCCCACATTCCTGCATCCTGGAATATCATCTTTGTACAAGGGACTTTCAGGACTATTCCTCTAAGAATAAAGCAGAATCCTATTCCCTAGTATAATGTTATAAACTAAAATCCCTAGAGCAAAGCTATTCACATATGAATGATTGCAATTTCCTCCAGAATCCTGACTTAACAGACACACCAGTGTTTCAGACTCCCCAGTGCAAGGCCGTGGAGATGGGACGTGCTTTGGAGTAAAAGGACAGAAGCACCCTCCACCTCGGTGAGCCTGTGGATGAGAGCTTTCGAAGTGGAACCCAAGGGCAGGCTGCACAGTGACACAAGACAGGCTGTAGAGATGTAGGTGGAAGCCCTTAAGTCTTGGAAATGTTAATGGACTGTGCAAACAGTGGTGCCTCCCCCACCTCCCCATCTTCATGAGGGCAGTAGGGAGGATTAGCATTTTTTATAGTATTAATATTGTCCTCCTGTTAGCTTCTACAGGCATATGACTAAAATGTGACAGGTGTTATCAAGATGAGTGTATTTGGCAAGAGGGTGAAAAAAATCCTAGGTTTGGGTTAACTTCTCCTAGTTTCATGTCAGGGTTTTAGTATTGGCATGAGCTTCATTTCATCGAGGTAATAGTGTAGCTGAAGAAATCCTGTCTATCAGCAACAGATTCTCCACAGCTGCAGCTGTCAGCAAGGCAAGAGCCTGGAAGTTTACACGGTGTGTGAATGAGGGATGAAGTTTGTGCCAGCCAGCTAACCTGCTGCTATGATGTAACCCCAGCCAGCAGCTCTGTAGCATGCAGCCACTCGCTCACTGCCCCCAGTGGGATGGGGGAGAGAGTCAAAAGGGTAGAAGTGAGAAAACTTGTCAGTTGAGGTAAAGGTGAATGAATAAGTAAAGCAAAAGCCACACACACAAGCCAAGCAAAGTAAGGAATTCCTTCACTATTTCCCATTGTCAGGCACATATTCAGCCATCCCCAGGAAGGCTGGGCTCCGTCACGTGTAACAGTGACTTGGGAAGAGAGACACTATCAGTAGGAATGTCCCCCCACCCTCCTTCCCCAGCATTATATGCTGAGTTGGGGTCTACTGTCCCAGTTGTGTCTCTTCCAGCTTCTTGTGGACACCCAGTCTACTCAATGGTAGGGTGGTGTGAGAAGCAAAAAAGTCTTTGGCACTGTGTAAGCCCTGCTCAGCAGTAATGAAAACATCCCTGTATAATCCAACACTGTTTACAGCACAAATCCATAACAAAGTCTCTTATTAGCTACTGTGAAGAAAACTACCCCTGTCCAGGCCAAAACCAGCAGACCTGTGTTAGCTGAAGGAGGTCTATGGCATGGCTTCAGCAGTATTATTGCAGGGTACAGCAGAGCTTTGTTGCAGGCTGCCCTTTTAACTGGTGATGTGAAACAGCAGAACCATCCTTGCCAAAGAGGAGTTGTGTATTTAGATTTAATCTGAAGACTCTTCGATGGCTGCATTTTGTTTATGGCATGAGGATGAAAATTTTGCTAACTTTACAACTGAGCATTGTCAGTGTTCTTCTAGAGATTGAGTTAAACCTTCTAATTAGAAATTTGGGCAATTTCTTGCTTCTTTATATTTGTGTGTAATTCTGGAAAGGATTACAGATTTGGATTATGGGAGCTAACAAACATATTCCAGCTCATAACTTGAGCTGGAAGGCAGGGGTGGGGATGTGGCCTTAATTCAAGAGGAAATGGTTAATGATCTTCTGCATCACCTAGACATACAC